ATCATTGCAGCTTTACTGCTCTTAGCAAAACAAGTATGTTTGGGTTTAAATATGACCTGAGAGTTGTGATGGTGAACAGGCAAACTGATCTCAGACCTGTGACCTGGCACAGTTGTGAAATCGATTCCTGACCAGACTAATGACTACAAACCAGGAGATTTTAGGTGATTCTGGGTCTATGGAGAAAAACCTTTTCCAAACTAAGCAACCCCTTGGACAACTTCTCATCTATTTGTGAGCTTAAGGCAAATAACTTCATTTTAGGCTTCAGAAAAGAAGGAACAAAGCTGTCTTTTACGATGCCCCCTTTTTCTTTTGGCAGGATTTTTCAGTTGTGACCCTCCCCAACCTGCCAAAAGAAAAATGGAGCGATCATGAAAGACAGTTTTGTTTCTTTTTTTCTGAAGACTGAAGACTAAAATCAAGTTATCTGCCTTAAGGTCACAAATAAATGAGAAGTTATCCAAGGGGTTGCTTAGTTTGGAAYAGATTTTTCTCCAGACTCAAAATTACCAAAAAATCTCCTGGCTGGTGCTCATTAATCTGGTCAGCAATCGATTCCACAACTGTGCCAGGTCACAAGTTTGAACATCAGTTTGCTTTTTCACCATCACAACTCYTAGGTCTAATTTAAAACCAAGCACACTCCCTCTCCTAAGAGCAGTAAGGTTGAAGTGTGTCAGCTTCAGTTAAGACTCAACAATTTGATTTAAAAAAAACCTTCAGAASCTGAAGACCTGCCTGTGTCCCAAACAATAAAAATGATCCATAGGTCTGAATCAGAACACCCACATTAAAATTTCATTTATCACAAACATGCCAAAGAACAGCTGACAGTGGGGGCCTGTTGGACTGTGCAGATGGAGTWAGAGTTTTTGCCTTCCACTTTAGATCAGAATTTAAATCTAAATCCTTTCTAAGCCTGGCTCCTTTCCCATGACCTGCAAAATCCGGGTACAGCACACTGTTACTTCATACAGGTTATCACATTGTAGAAAAAAAAAACAACCAAGCCCCAAAACCAAACAAGGAACAATTAAAAAACCCTGCTGAAAGCATCACAATGATTAACTGTGGGAAATAAATTYTGAATTTCTCAGTTGCACATAAAAATAAGGATTCACAGTTATTTGCCACTTCATACCAAACACCTGGCCAGGGCACAACTGTGAATTACCCAAAATTAGAACAAAAACTTGATTTCAGAGTAGTCTATTTTAGTTTTTCTCAGTGTAACCAATTGAAGTCACCATGATTCAGAAGTTTCAGTATCTTACAAACCCACCAGGAACCCTTCCATGCAAATAGGCAGGTGCAAAAAAAACCCACCAGAACCAAGAGAATTTGAAGCAACACTTCTCTCCACCTTCATTGCAAGGGAATCACTTCATTTTTACATCTGCAATTCTCATTTTCAGTGTGTAAATCTCAATACCTGAGCAATCTGAAGCCCCAGCAGCAGCTCTGGAGTTCCAGCAGCAGCTCAGCCTCCTGCTCATGAGATCACACAACATGTGGGAACCCTTCTGGCCGGCCCACAATCACCACTCAAGATGACCCAAGCTTATAGAGTTTAATCTAATTAAGATTTTAACCATCCTCAGAGGTTTTAAGAGTGCAGGYGACACTGCATCTTAAAGGCTCAAAGGGGAAATACCCTTCCAGCTCCAGGGAGAAAACCCCAAATCCTCAATCAAACACGTACAAAGCTGCTTTGCTGACACAAGCTCCAAAAAACCAAGGAGATGGGCAAGAAGGAAAAATCTGTCTCTCTCTTTCAGGCTGTTACAAAATGGGGAAGAACTTCTGGAAATGCAAACTGATTTAGTAGTTCTGTAGGAGGGTTGATGCCTTGTGACATGCACTGAGCAGATCTGTACTGAAGGCTCCAATCTGGAAGGTGAAAATTTGGTTCTGTACCAACATCACAGCAGGGCTGGGGGGGATTAGTGGGAATGAAATGCTTTGAAAAATGAAAGGCATTAGGTAAATGCTAAGTATTATTAAAAACCTAAAAATACTCGGGACGGAATAATTACTGTTCATGTGAGATCACTGTGAAAATATTGTTTTATTTRTGAATTAAATGCATTTTGTATTAGGAAAGGGAACCACTGATAAGCCAAGAAAACACAAGTCCTACAGAAAAAGAAAAATTGTACAAAAAAGTACAAGTAACAAACCAAGCTACTTCCATATCAGACTGACCAAAGGAGACAACTTCCAAGGAAAATTTTGGAACAATTTCAGTTTTTCAATCTGGCTAAGTGTAACAGAAAGCAAAGAGATTTAGTCCTGTGGAAGTAAATTATTTCTTTGACTTTTAGTTGGTGAAGAATAGGGATACTTTTGGTCATGGGTTGTTTTAATTACTCCTCATTTGTGTCTCCATCATTTCCAGATGAGATTTGGGCAGTCTATTCCTCTTAGAGCTCCTTTGTCTGGAGACAGAGCTCAAAGCCTAAACTTCCACCTGGTCTACAATACCCCTCTCTACACCTGATGTCAAATACCTGATTTTGATATCTGAAATATCAAAAATAGAGCTCTAAATGAGGGGGGAACAGAACAACAAGACCTTGCCTTCCCAAATGCTGTGGCACAGCAGCTAAGGACAGGATTCCTCCAGATACAACACAGATCTGTGAAATCTGCAGCCTCCAGAAGAACACATCACCTTTCCACTTAGAATTTTGGACTCTAGAAGATAGGCAGGGGCACTGTTAAACGTTTCTTAACAATCCAAACCTCTAATAATAAATAAGTATGTGGAAGACAGGGTGCCAAATTGTCCCTACCAAAGAGAACACCCAGCTGAAATCTCTGAAAAAAGCCCTTACATTTCACATGATGAAAATGTCTTTTCTTCATTCAGAAACTTACTCAAGGTGGCAAACTTATTTCTCTAAGAGCCTTGTATTGCATGTTCTAGATTTGTCAGGAATGCACCTGTACATTTTTTTAACATGTGCACAGTACTTTACCTACAACAGTAGAATTTTCCAGCCTCAGAGTTTGTTCCACTGCCTGCAATATAAAAAAAAAACCACAACAGCTAAAAAGGGCTGTAACCTTTGCCAACCTTTTGGTCCTGAACTCTGTTCGTGCTTCTAAAASAGGAAAGTGGTTTGTTGCACGTGACAATAGTTCCTCGGTACCTTAAATATAAAATTCCTGTTATCAACGGCAGCCTCTGAAAAATTCACCTTTGCAGAAAAGCTGAACCTCAGTGAGCTGACATTACTTGAGAAAGAGCTTTGAAGTGTCTATTTCTAATCCTCCAATCTGAATGACAAAGGAGTTATTTGCAATCGTGAATCTTTAAAACACAGATCTGAACTGATGTCTGTTTTTGCAACTCATTAACACAAACCCTGCAATTCAGCTTTTACTCAGTGTCTTTGTTCTGTTCCACAGTGAAGCACYGGTGCTGTCTCTTAAGATGATTATGCTCTTGGTGAGCCAGTRTTTCCTCATGCACATTCTGAGACCCAACAAAAATTACATTTTCAAAGACATCGGAAATAACATTTTCTTTATCTGCTATTACAAAGTGACAGCCACAGCCTTATTGTTCACGTATTTTACAAGTCTGAAAATGGATGGCAATAGGATTCGCAGCTGGCAGAAAAGTCTCCAAAGCTGAGAAGGATWTTTCTATCAAATTTTACACAAAAGCAGAAACGAGGCTTTGGGCCCCGGATCCCACATGATCCAGCAGATGCTGTTTCCAGCTTCAGCAAGTTTTCATTCAGAAGCAACTGCCTCCGTGTTCAACAATGGATCACACAAGATCCTGTTAGCCTGTATAAATGAGAGGCCTGGTTTAGAATTACAGCAGAAATAGAATGCACAACTTTTGTCTGGGAAAACTAAAAAAGAAAAGAAAACAAAACAAAACTGCATTATCACCACTTCCCATCTCAGAGGGGTGCACAGGTAGGGGTCACGATGATCCTACATGGAAATGACTAGGCAACAACTGTATATTCCCAAAAAATGCATGTATTTTTTATTGTCATATTCACGTTGTAGTAAAATCTGTATGAGAAAACTCATCTGTGCATCTTCCCTTTGGCATCTCTGARCTTGGAAAGGTGCAAATTGTTCATGAAGAGCTCAAAAAAGAAAACAAACCGACAGTTGCTATTTTGGCTCCATTTYAGTCAGAGGGGTCTTTTTCACTTCTGCTTTGGCACCTGACACTGCTCTGGCCCAGGGGATGCAGGAGCCCCACAGAAAGGCCAAATCCTACAATTTGCACCTGCTCGAAATGCCAAAACCAAAGGTGGAGGCGTTGATGTTGGTTCTGAGCCATCGGACACGTGGCACAGCTTCTGCACATGAATCCTCCCRTGGGAGCCCCTCTGTAAAGAGTGAATCCTAAAGATGCTCTGGGAGCTCCACCCTAAGAGGGACCCCCTAAAGTCACTGTGAGAACCCCACTGTGATCTCCTAAAGCTGCTGTGGGAGCCCCACCATAAAAAATGATTCTTTAATGCTACCGGGGGAGACTCACTATGATGAATGATGCCCTAAAGCTGCCGTGGGAACCCCACTATAAGGAACTCCACCACGACCTTCTAAAGGTACTGCAGGAGCCCCACCACAAAAAGCGCCCCCCTAATCTGCTGTGAGACCCCAGACTCCTGCGGGAGATGATCAGCAGCCCAGCACCTCCACCCCAACACCGCATCCATCACCCCGCGCTCCTGCGGCAGGAGCCCCGAGCTCCACGCACCCCTTGGGCTCGATGGAACCGCAATACGGAGCGCCAGCCGCTGGCTGGGGACAGCCTCCCTCTTTGCACTGCCCTTTCATGCCCACACCTCATCCATCCATCCATCCATCCATCCATCCCTCCATCCATCCATCCATCCATGCCCGCTCCCATCCCATCCCATCCCACGCGTGTCCGCGGGCGGGGCGCAGAGCGGCGCGGTGCGGCCGCTCGTTCCCCGCGGATCGGGCGGGCTCTGTCGCGACTGTCGCCGACTCACCTCCTGAAATCAAAGGGCATGGTGGTGGTGGCGGTGGTGGCGGGCGGGCTGCGGGCGCCGCCGCCCCCCGGGCCCGGCTGAGGGCTCGCTGCCGGCGGCTGCAGGGCCAGGAAGTGACGGCCCCGGCCCCGGCCCCGGCGCCGCGCAGCCCCAGCCCATTGGGCGGCAGGGCCGGCCGGGGCTTCCGCCGCCGGGTTACGGGGAGCCGGCTTCCCGGAGGGATCAGGGGTGAAGGATTTGGGGTGAATGATTCGGGATGCGGGCGGTGACAGGGTCCGCGGAGCTCCCCGCGGCGCGGTTCCGCTCGGTGCCCGCTCCGTGCTCCGCTCAGCCCCGCGGCTCCGAGCGCGGAGTCACGGAATTATTTGGGTTAGAAAAAGAGTTTCAAAGTCAGCGAGTCCAGCTTGTGCYCCCATCCCCACCGTGTCCCCAGCCCAGAGCACTCAGTGCCACCTCCAGGGATGGGCACTCCAAACCTCCCTGGGCAGCCCCTGCCAATCCTGAGCACCCTTTCCATGGGGAAATTCCTGCTGATGTCCCCCCTGCCCCTCCCCAGCCCAGCCTGAGGCCGTTCCCTCTCCTCCTGTCCCTGTTCCTGGGATCAGATCCCAAATCCCCCCCGGCTGCCCCCTCCTGTCAGGGAGTTGTGCAGAGCCACAAGGTCCCCCCTGATCCCCCTTTGCTCCAGGCTGAGCCCCTTTCCCAKCTCCTGCAGCTCCAGAATAGAGTGTGGCCGCTCAGAAGGGTGAGTGAGGTGTTTCAGGCTTTGTCCTGCATCATTTGCACTCTCAGCATCACAGTGATGCCAGCCTGTGCCAGGGAATGCAGTGTCTGGGGACAGAGCCAAGCCAYGGTGACAGACGGGGGAAAGTCTCACACTTGCAAGTGCCCACAAAGGAAGGAGGAACACCCACACCTCCATCTCTGTGTGCCCGTTAAGGTTTGCTTAGATATTAGGAAGAAATTCTCCCTCTGAGGGTGGGGAGCCTTGGCACAGGGTGCCCAGAGAAGCTGTGGCTGCCCCTGGATCCGTGGCAGTGCCCAAGGCCAGGCTGGACATTGGGGTTTGGAGCACCCTGGGATGGTGGGAAATGTCCCTGCCATGGCAGGGGATGGAACAATAAGAGCTTTAAGGCCCCTTCCAACCCAAACCATCCCAGGATTCTGTGATGAGCTTCTTTAGGGCCACCATGGCTCTTTCACTTGCTCTTGGAAATACTTTTTTCCAGTTTTACTGGAGACAAGGGATTAAAGTAAGAAAAAGCTCCCCAATTGTTAGATGAGACATTTCCCCAGTGTTTCCATTTTGCCACCATGCCTTTCTCTGCCAGCTTCAGAGCAATGCTCGTGGCTAATCCTGCACTGCCCCATGCACCGTTCCTGTTGCTTCCCATCATTTATCACCAGCTAACAGCATCCCTCTGGGAGGTTTTGCTGCAGGCAGAGTGATTCTGTGTTCAGAGTCACCATCACTCACGTACAGTGCATGTTAGACTGCGCTGCTGGAACAAACTGCAGCTATTCTGGCCTTTTAAGTCTAAAAGCGGGGCAGGAGCAAGAGGGAATTGTCAGCAATCTGAGTATGCTCTGTGCAGCATGCTGCATTTCTAATTGATTCTGCACCTTTCTTCCTCTTCCTCCTGCTGTCGTCATCTCTTTACTTAGAGATGCACATTTTTCAATTTTTTTTTTCCTTTTACACAGAAGCTAGGCCCATACCTGCTTAAAAAATAAAGAAATTCAGCTTGAAACAAGCAGAGAAAAACTACTGAAGAGTCTGAGCTGTTAATCTATACCATTTTCATTCAAAGAAAGAGGTAATAATTCAYGCTGGTAATATGAAAAACTAAAATGGAGGAATCCCAAGTATGAGATAACATGGCACAATCCCTCAGAAAGTCCCCAGGGAATAGATAAAAATACTTAATTGTTTGGGGGGTTTGTTTGATCTCAGACACCTAAATTACCCAACTGCATTGTGCGAGCATATTCAGCAGATTGCGAACAGATCAGCCACCAAATGGTTCCACTTTGCATTGTGCTCCAAACCTGAGCAGCCCGCTGAAATTAATGAGACAATTCCCATCTCTCATGAGGTCAAACGATTGCACAGGCATAGCCAGCGGGGACGATGTSTAGTGGAAAAAAACCAAAACAAACAGCGCCTGTCGAGGTGGTTACACAACCCAGCCGAGCTCCTGGCAAGGCCCCGGCATCACTAGCTGTTATTAACTGTCCTGTGCAGAGGCATCAGCTCTCCCAGGAGCCAAGAGAGTGCTGAAGGCTTTGCAAAAGTTCTTCACTTGTACTGTAGATAAATCTGGAGGTGGCCTTGAAGAGTCTCGAGAACGCAGCACAGAGAGAGCTCACGTCGTGGGGGTTTTATTTCGCACTAAAAGGTCAAACTGGAGAAGGGAACGGGCTCAGAGCAGCTCTGCAGTTGGGTCCAGCTCGCTCACATCCTTGCCAAGGGAAGAAGAAGTTAATGGCCTGAGATAAGACCCTCGTCACAATGCTGTTTRATTACATAAGGCTTCTATCGAGCTGCAGATAAGAACAGGAATTTGTCCCCAGTCCAGCTGGGTGCGGCAGCTGAGCTCATGTTGTGGGCTAGAATGGGAACTAAAAGGGGTTTATTCGAGGTGCATGTCCCACCATCACAACTGCAATGAGCAAACTGATACTGACAACTGATTGCAAAGTCAATTTTCTTTCTCATGGGAACAATAAACCAAACTTTTTCTGACAACAGTAGACTTCAAACTCTCGTTTTTCTTCAGATTGCTTTGGGAACATTCATTGAGCCAAACTCCTGCTCTGAAACCACTAAGTCCGTATTTTCAGAACTCTTTAATAACCAAGAAACCAAAGCAGAAGGATGAATTGACTCACCTTCAGTTCAGTAAAAGATCAGCTTCAGTTCTAAATTAGCAAASAAATCCCTTCAGTCCTAATTCTGTGTTCATAATTCTTCTTGCAAAAAAAGAACATTTTCCTCATTCCAGTTCGCTTTCTTAYAGATAAATCAGATCATGGATGAGTCTCTCTGACTTCCTGACTAATGCCTCACAAGAACAAAACTGGTACCTCCTTCCAGTGCCCAAAAAAACTCTTTATTTGAATCATCTTCCTGGTTCTTTATTTAATAAAGTTGTTTATGCAGGTAAAATGATTCATGTCCAGGTTTCTGGGATATTCTTCATCTCCAGTTGTTATGCTATTTTTAAGTTTTAACTTCACATTAATGAAGTTAATTTATAGAGTTTATATTAATCCTTGATAATTCAGCCTGGGAGGAGACTGAGGGGAGACCTTGTGGAACTTCCTCCGGAGGGGCAGCTGGGTTGGACAATCCTTTCCAAACCAGCCATATTCCATGATTCTACAATTCTATGAATTTTACTTATSTCTATTTTGTAATCTCAAAGTCTTCTCTTTCCCAAAAAAAGCCAAACCTCCATCGTTCCCTGTTCAGCACGGCTTTGGGGTGATATAACACCCTGCAACACTCACATACATGATTTCCTCTTTTGTTTGTTGTGATTCCTTACACACRGCTGAGTTTTATTTTCGCCTCTGGCTCCTGCTTTGGGAGCTCACAGTCGGTGCTGTGACTGGGTCATGAGCAGCACTGTTTGCTGAAGGTAAAGCTGGGTACACACAGTCATCCTTCGGCTCAATCAGGCTTCGTTCATCAATTGGGAATGCGAGATGACTCTGAGGAAGGTGCAGCGCTTATTCACTGATGCCCCTTCTTCTACAGAGCCCTGTAAAAATTAAAAAAAAAAAAAAAAGCAGAACCAAAAGCTGCCCCGTGGCTTTTGTTCGGGCTCACCCGGGGACATTTCCCCCGGTGCTTTTATTCGCSATTCGTGTCGGGGTGGGCTGGGAATTGGAGTGAGCGCATTTCTCCTYAGGGTGTGCCCTCGATTATGTGTTGTGTTCTGCAGGGTGTGGCCCTGGCTGCCCTGAGCCCAACTGCCGCTCAGGAAAAGGAAAAAACATTGCAGAGAATGGAGAGAAAAAGGTTACAAAGCGTTTGAAAAATATAAATAACAGCGTGTGAGGAAACCTTTCTGAAGGAACAGGATGCGCATGGAGGTGAAGAATTCAAACACAAGCGCTGTGCTAAGTATAATCAGTAATGAAAGTTCAGCCCTTCCTTTTAGGATTTGGGTAAGCTACATGTTGGCAGTACTTTCCAAATTCCGGGGAACAAAGRAATCAAGCCTTAAATGTTGTCTTAAACTCTTGTCACAGTGTAGTGTGTTTATCACACTCACATAAATTACACTGTCCATTTATTTTTGTGAGATTGGACTTAAAATACACAAGAGTATAAACGAGTACCTACTCAATTTAATGCCTAGGTTCCTTTTTTTTATTGACTGTTTTTTTCCTTGAGAAGACATAACAACCTCTCTTCTTCCTGCTCAATAAGCAGAAGAGATAATCTGCTGATTTTTCCATCRCAGGGACGGGTACAGCTGATGTGTGTGTTTGAGTATGGAGAAGAGGTTCTGTGCAGCCACTTCTGCACAGAAGATGTATGAAGAAGAAGTTCTGTGGCCTCTTCCTTGTCCTGTGATAATGGGCAATCACATCATTGAGCAATGCTGAAGGGAATCTACCACTCTTAAAACCCAAGAAATTTTGCCTTTCTTTTCACACAAATTGCCTCTTCTCAAGCCTGTTTCCTGGCACRTTTTGGGTGCCAGGAATTTGCTGTGGGAAAGTCACAGCGAGCAGAATGTTTAACTGTATTTTATTTCTTTTTCCACTGTGGAAATGAACGCCACAAGGAAATTGCAGGCCCTGTCCCAGGCTTACCTCATRGTTTGTACAATATCCCTGGAGTGGTGAGTGTTCAGTGCACTTCAGGAGTCTGCAATCACCTGAGCAAAGGTCATGGCCAAAGGCAGATTCAAGTTAACAGTTAACCAGGGAGAAATCCTCTATCRGGGACTTTGAACACTGAGAGGGCCAGATCTCAAAGAGATTTGGGATTAGCAGCAAAGGRAGGTTGAGTTGGGGATTRGAACYTGATTCTCATGCTCTCCAGTGAGTYAAATGCCTTAARTTCCCTATTCACTGGAGAGAAATRAGTTCAGAGCCAGGACCTGAAGGACTCGAGTGCCCTGAGCCTGCACACTTGAGCGGTGAGATTCCTGTGTCAGCCAGGAGGAAATACTCAGGAGAAGGGGAGCTCTGAATGCCTCACTGTAAAAAAACTCACACAGGACCTCAAAGTGTTTGCTTGTGGGCTTAGGTAACACGTCTGGCATCGACATCTCCATTATGCTTGTCAGTGAAAATAAACCTGGGAGA